TATGTACAGTCGGCGTCTGGTCCATAGCTGCTGTAGAAATACAAAAATCGAGCCATCTTTTTTTTTTTTTCTTCCCATACTAATAACAAGAAATGTATCACGTCACGACGACCATCCTGTGAGTATATATATAACATGATAACATGATAAAGAAAACAACCTTCCCGCCTTTTGGATCTTGTATATTCTGCTATTATCCGTAGAAGGCACCATGAAGAGGCGTCGCGTGTGCTGGCACGTTTGGGTTTGCCACAGGAGCGGAAATATCGAAGGTCGCACCAGTCTCTACAATAGTCCTTACTCTGCACCGGAACCAAGCGGAATCCCCCATTTGTCACAGGCGTGCTTACCGCCACGGACCGTATACTCCTGAACCACGGGTCGTCAGCAGTAGCAAGTGGCATCAGCTACTGCAGGATACCCGCGGTTCAGGAGATTGTGGTCAGTGGCGGCGAGAAAAAGCAGTAAATAGCACGGTGGGCGTCGGTCTACATCTAACTTGCGGAGATTGTAGGCCACTACAACGACCCTCGATATCACTACACAAGGAGCGGATTTGAGCGCCCAAACACACGCTGTAAGGTGTCCTCTAGTGATATCACTAGAATGCATAAGGTCAAAGGATGCAAAACGGACCTTATTTGAGCTCTGCCGGTCTGGTTCTTTTGGATTGAATATTTACTTGTGATGGTTTTCTTGATTTCAAAGGAGGCTGGTGGAGTAGACCCTTGATACGGATGTTTTGAGCAGTCCCTACTGCCGCCCTGTGCGAGAATCAACGATTTCTGTTTCTTCTGATGCCTTCTGACTGGTCCTGCGTGTCAGTTTCCATTTCTGGTGCTCTCGCATGTATTTCAAATTCAGTCAACGTGAAGTTCGTTGTCTCCCATCCCTTACCCTTTTCGGCCTTCAGGCGTACTGACTGATGATTGATTGGTCATTTACGAATGCTGGCGTGGTGGCAAATCGTGGAGTTGGCGCCCTGTAGACCTCCACGCCGGGTGTTGGAAGTCCTCATTTATTTTTTCCATCAACCGCGCTGACCGGCTCGACACTGAAAAGACGCCAGTGCCACCGGGCAACACCTAGTTCGGAAAAAGGCGAATGTCATGGTCCGCTTGGCAGCAAGCAACCAACGCCATGCTATTTGAATATTTAGTAATAGTGTTTTAGTCAAATGAAAGCAGTGTGAGTGGGCTTGGTGAGTTACCAACAAAACAACCTACAATACCAGTGCCAATATGCCACGTTCCTACGGAAGAAAGCGCGTACTATGCGCCGACGTGGAAGCATGCTGCATAGGCCAGAAATGTGCGACCATTTGCGACCATTCTCGCTGCATGTCTCCGCTTCTGGACCGGTCGGTTCGCCCTGTTCCTGTCTTGACCATCGTTCTTGGTGTCTTATCAAACAATTTTGGAAAAGTCGAATCTCAGGGTCAGCTTTGAGGTAACAAACAGCATCATCATCGCGGCAGTAGCCAGATTTTCCGGTGCACATTCATCTTCATGCACACACCCACACACATAATACAGCACCGGCAACGCATTCATTCAGGGATCCGACGAAATTCTCACGCGTTCATTCGTGTGCGCCAGCATGTGAGCTGTTTCGCCCCGAATTCCTACGTTACTTGACAAATGAGTGTAGCTTCCATGGAAGTAGAATTTTACTCTCCCGTGGATTTGGTATCGACTTCCATGGAATGGTTCAAAGTTGATCTCCATGGAAGCTCGCCAAGTGAAATCCTTGGATGCTTAGGGAGCTTGCGTGGAAGTTAAGCTAAGGGCGATTCACGAGCGACTTCCATCGAGACTTGCGCTGGCAGTTATGTCAACGGCAGTTCAAGAGCGATTTCCAGTGATTCTTTAACTTCCATATTACCTAATGGAAGTCGACTTGCTTCCATAGAAAGTCGCTTGGTGAGCTTCCACGGAAGGAAGTCAAATTTTGCAACTACCATGGGAGTAGCCCACCTTCGGGTAGAAGCAGACTCAGTATCACAGAGGAGCATTGTTGCTGCATCATCTGTTTCTCCTATGCCAGCACCATTGCCCTCTACCGGGTTGCTTTCTGTCGGACTTCGCTTTGCGCCAGGGAGATTGCTCCTGCTAGATTAATCGCTATCCCTGCAATTCGTTCTTGGGCCCTCTCTATTGCAACCGTTGTTCTGACCATGTCAAGGATCAAAGCCCTTACTTTCTTCGAAACTATTGCCTCTGCTGCTGCTTCTACTGTATCGTTTTCCTTATCGGTGGGTAACCGGTGTTGTTGGCCAACCGAAGATTTGGGTTGGGTATGAGCTACTCTCACCGCGCAAATTCCAAAGGGATCATGAGCCCGTGTTGAAATACGCCGAGCGACATCAAATGAAAACGCCTCTGCATCTTGTCTGAACGATGCCTTTAGTCGAAGGAAGTCCGCCTCGGCATGTATGTCTCTCGTGTTGTTTGCCTCCTGGGTTACATGATTTATTTTGTTGCTTAGAAAAACGCTTTGTTGCTTCGCCGAAAAAGACACACACACAAAACACATGTCAGCCCGTCACTGTATGTGGAGCGAGCAACCGTAACCGAAGGAGGGTGGGTCAAGCGTGCCCACATGATGGTTTGCCGTGGGGGTTGCTCTATCAACGACGGCGGATCCTGGTTTTTGGAGCGATTTATCGATGCATCATGTGCCGCAGGATTGACGATGGTGACATAGAGAAGAATATGGTTGTTGAAAGGACCTCGTCTTCCTCGTCTGTATTCAGTTTAACACGAATGGCTAGATCCCATCTAGTACAGGCTACGGTTTCAACGGGTGCCTAGTACGAACTGGGAGGAATTTCAATTGCGTGGGCCTGTGCGTTCAAATGTATCTTCTCCTCTGTTCTGGGCGCCAGTCCACACCATTCATTCGATTACAACAAACGTGCATCGTAAGTACGTTTTCACATGCGAGCAATCGTTGACTCGGCGACTTGTGCGTGACTGTCAGGGAGCAGCCGGTGCCTCGACGCGTTTGCCGCCGCCTTAAACCAAGCGTGCGAGGGGGGGGAGAAGCGTTGGTATGCGTCTACGCTGGAGCTGAAACTGGTGTCTTGGGATTGTGCATGGCATGCCGAGGCGTTCCAACCTTGCACGAGTATGTGCACGTGAATGACCGCCTTGCAACACCGTACAGTCTACGGGATTTTGGTGCTCCACATAGGGAACGACGGTCGCTGAGCTGGAACACCTGGTGGAAGCGTTCTGTGCCGAGTCGCGTGCCGGCCGTGCGCGCACGTAGTATGACACTAGTACTTCCGATGGAGGTCATGCCGCAAACGGCAACCGAGCAGTGGAAATTTGTGGAGTTCTTGCGGCTACAGCAGTATACTATCACCACAATCAGACTGGGTTCAGTGGTTTGGCCGCCGAGCCTCAAGCATCTGGTGTTGGACATGCCGGTGGGAACGGGTTCGTCGTTCAAGGGAAATATGGGGTTGGGAGACGACTTCAACCTAGTGGTGTGGCCTAGCTCACTACAAGCGCTACAGTTCGGCTCCCGCTTGAACCAACCTATCGCCGGGACTGTGTGGCCGGCCTCCTTGCGCAAGCTATCGTATGGGGATGGGTTCAACAAACCCATCGCCGAGAGTGTGTATGGCCTAACTCCCTGGAGAAGCTCTCGTTCGGGCGTGCTTTCGACCGACCCATCACCGAAGTCGCGTGGCCGACCTCCTTACACGAGCTATCATTCGGGGACGGGTTCAACAAGTCCATTGCGGGGGCCGTTCAACAAGTCCATTGCGGGGGCCGTGTGGCTGGCCTCCGTAAAGGAGCTATCGTTCGGGGATGGGTTCAACAAACCCATCGCCGAGAGTGCATGGCCTAACTCCCTGCAGAAGCTCTCGTTCGGGCGTGCTTTCAACCATGTCATCGCGGAAGTCGCGTGGCCAGCCTCTGTGCGGAACCTGTCGTTCGGGAGTGCTTTCAACCAGCCAATCATGGATGTGGTGTGGCCGGGTTCTTTGCAGCGGCTATCTTTTGGAGACTGTTTCGGCATGCCAGTCGGCGGAGTCGTGTGGCCGCCCTCTCTACAGCGGCTCTCGTTCGGGTCTTCGTTTGACCAGCCAGTCGCCGGGACCTTGTGGCCGGCCTCCCTGCAACAGCTGTCGTTTGGGAAAAGGTTCAACCACCCGATAGCCGGGAGTATTTGGCCGGCCTCGTTGGAAGAGTTATCGTTCGGGAGATGTTTCGACCAACCCAGGGCCGGGGTCGAGTGGCCGGACTCCCTCCGGGTTGTGACAAGAGCAAAGGAGGAGTTGTTGTGGCGGCGCAAAGAGTTTGAGTAGCACTCTTGTAGTTGCATAGGAGAGATTGGAGTGAATAGTGGGGGCTTGGTCATGAGTGGTACGTTTGAGGTACACCCGGCCCTCGACCGAATTGATACGCTGTTTCTGTTTTAGTATCTTCCAACGGTATTTCCCTTCATATTGACCCAGGAGAATATTTTGAGGAAGCGAATTTGTTGAACGCAACGGGTAAAACAGGAACATTTCTGAGTCGCGGTACTGTATAGAGGGAGTATTCTTGAATCTTTAGCTTCAGTCTCATCTGTCAATACCCGTGTATAGAACTTCAATCCGGCACCCCGACGCTTACCCAACCCCGTCTCAAATGCAGATCTTGAGGAACTGTACGGTGCATTTCTCGTTGCTCCTCCTAGAGTATAGTTCGATCGCGAATCATGACCCCTCCCCGAGATTGAGCAGCTTCCGTCTCACGTCGCGAACAAGACTCGACTTGTTCTGTTTCGTCATTCGAATGGCGGTTGAAACAGACAATGGGGGTCCGGTTCGCCGCTACAAAATGATTACCGTTTTATTGTGTGGGTGCGTGTCCTACTGGGTGAGAGGTTCATACTCCATCTACAGTGCACATCTCATCGAGCCTCGAGCATTGTTCGGTAGGGAATTGCGGCATACTTACCCTCCCCGCGATTGAGGAGCTTCCGCCTCCTGTGGCGGACATATGTGGTGGACAAAGACTGAACTTCGTCTGGCTGTGTCACCATCTGCGAACAACCGCTGAAGCGACAAACAGAGAGGGTCTCCGCACAAATGTTTGCGATTCTTGGTTGGGTGAGAGGTGCTGCCAACGCATTCGGTAGCTACGTAAGCTTGAGGGTGTACGGTCGACTGCAGCACAGTCATGTACGTAATATGATACGTACCCGCCCCTCTCCCCCCTCGAAACTCCAGTGGCGACTACGGGGACCCTGCCGCCATCGAGGAAGAGGTTGGACTCCCCGAACAATCGGAGGAGGAATGCCAACAGGTTGCCCCGCCGGACATGCCTTCGCCCGGGACTACCCCTGCCCCTGCCACCACCACCCCGCCGCCCTCCACTGGGGAAGAGCCTATCCCGACAACAACTCAACCGCTCCCTGTCACCCTCCCTCCGTCCTTCCCCACCTCCCCTCCCGCCTCCGAGACTGACCCGCCTTCACCTGGACCGGAACCATCGACCCCTGCTCCTGTAAACCCTGAATCCACTCCGGCCCCTGTTGCGCCCCAGCCCGAGCCCGAGCCCACTCCGGCCCCGGTCACAGACGAAAGCCCTGGCGTTGGTGCATGCGACCCGAACCCTTGCATGAACGGAGGGTCGTGCGAGGTGGACCCCAACGGTGGGTACACCTGCAGCTGCGGGAGCAGCTACGGAGCGATGATGTGCGAGACCGACGTTACAGGTGAGAGGGATATCTGCTCTCGTTGGGCACCAAAAATCGACCAACAAAGAGAGGATTATGATTTTCTCCAACACGTGCTGTTGCTATTGTTCTCTCATGTCTGTACTCTGAAGACAAACACGTGGAGGTTTGGGGAATACTTTCGTTCAGTAGGAACGCGAGGGGCCGTGTGAAACGTGTTTCGGGAGTTCAGAACACGCCACCGCGTACACACTGCATGTAATCGCGACGTGGTGCACCAGGACATCCTCCGGGATTGATGGTAGCGCCGGCCGTCGATGCCCATTTTGTTGTCCGAAACTTGACAACGCGTGCCGCCTACTTGCTGTCTTCAGGCATGTCTGAGTTCTTCATCACGGTGGACTTCCTCGGATCGTGGACTGACGAACGCAAGGGCGTCTTCCAAAGCGCAGCCAACAGGTAAGGCTGGGAGGTCAGCTTCATTGTAACTCAGTCTCGTCGAGCTCAGCCTTTCGCCTGGCACAAGTTCTTGTAGAGCATGTGTTTGCCCATGTCCGTGTTTTCATGCGCCCGGTGTGAATTTGTCGCTGCACCTTGCCCCGACCCTTCCTGTTCGCCCAAAACACCCGATGAATTAGGTGGTCGGAAGTCTTGACGCGCATCCCGTGCTCCGGAACCAACGGCAACAGGGGTGCCGCGGGCGAGCTTACCATCACCTCCACTCTTGAACCCATCGACGGTGTCTACGGAACCCTGGGCTTCGCCGGGCCTCGCGGCACCTACAGTGACTGCCGTGGCATCAGCTACTCCGGAGAGATGTGAGTGTGGTTGTAGTTTGTAGTTGGATTTCTGCGTTGAATGTGGTCGATTCTCCGATAGGGCAACGTTTATCCGCTTCATCGACACCAGGTGCAGCTGGCTGTCCGCTCTTACTACATCACCTGCATGCAGCAAGGACTCCAATTCTAGGCTCGGTTCACCTGTTTTGACCACGGTATGGTCGTCGCCGCCACACCGGTCGTCGCCGCCACACCTTTACCTAACGTTAACGTGCTCCCGGCATCCATCGTCAGGACGTTCGACATCGACGACATCGCTGAGATGGAGAGGCAGGGAACCTTCGAAGGTGTCATCCTCCACGAGATGGGCCACGTTATCGGCACCGGGTGAGATGACATCCTTGCAGGGGGACGCGATTACTTGATTTGTTTGTTCCCGCAATTGTGTGTTGAACCAGAGCCAGAAGGATGTGCTTGGCACGCCTACCCTCGTGCGAGTGTTGTGAAGGATTCGGCCCATATCTTGCGAGGTTGCCGCTCGGGCGTCTACAGCACTTGCGGGTTGTGGATGGGCTCTTCTCATCTATATCGAAACTCATGCATTGCTGTCCGTTTTTGCGCTCCGTGTGTTTCTTGACGTTTACTACCAGTACCCTGTGGGGTGAGTGTTCCGATTGTGACAGCACCAGCAGCGCGGAATGGAAGTGCCCCCTGGCTGCCCAGGTGTACAACGACTTCATGGGAAACCCTGCTGGTTCCCGGGCCGACATCATCGAGCTCGAAGGCGGAACCGGTGAGCTTAATGCAGGACTGCATGGCATCGTGCATTGCGGATGCTTGTCTGCAATGATCCATGGTTCGCACATACGTACGTACGGAGGGGGATGCTGCTGCTTCTGATATAGTCGAGGGTTGAGATGGCGTATCGTTCGTGTTGGACCGATTGTATCCGCCTTCCCCCTGTAACCTGTTCTCCTCAATTGCCGGCATGTTGTGAAGCTAGCCGCAGAACATACGCTCGCTAACTATCAGAGTGCGTGTGTGACCTTCGTACGGTTCACGATTCTCAGGTACAAGCTGCGGACACTTCAGCGAATCGACTTTCAAAGATGAACTCATGACTGGCTACGTCAAAGCGGTACGTCGTCCAATCGTGATGCTAGTGTCCCATCCCCTGGCAAGTGCGTGGAAATGACACCGTTTCTAGCTATTGGCAGTTTATGGCTACGCCCGACCCGGCCCGGCGATTAACCGATGTGTTACGTACCTTTGGACGCAATGAGCTCATAGGAAAATCCGGTGGGATTGATAACATTGGTTCGGTCTTGAGCACGAGATGAACAGAGGGACATTCACGCACAGAACAAGATAGCACCACCAGTCGTGTGAAACGAACGTGACGTTGACCTGTTTCTGTCGATTGTTTCCACACGCACTGTCTTCTCGTGGATCCGGCAGGGCCAGATGCCGCTTTCGAAGCTGACGTGCGCATCTCTGGCGGACCGAGGCTACGTCGTCCAACCGGCCAAGGTAAGATAATTCAGGCCTCTTCCACTAGGAGCTCATCTCCCTTCGGCTATCTCCCACGCCGCTCCTACCCGTTCACTATTGAGCACCGGGCAACTGCTCCAATTGGTGGGGTCTAGGTACTTCCTATCTGTGTCGTGTTTGAATCGACAATACACCAATTTCCGTGGTCACAGGCTCGACAAAACTTGGTCATGTGCATCGCAAATCGTTCGAAAGTAGAGTAGGTCAAGTCATTCGGCCGGAAGTGAGCGGTGTGCAGCAATCATTTACCTACCTGTCGCTTGACGCGCCACGGGTCCGATGAGAGGGAGGGACAACTCGGCAGAACCAATCGCGATAGACCGCTCTGGGCGCCCCAGAGCTGGTTTTTGACCCGTCTTTTCTACTCACTCGTTGGTTGACGTTGTGCGTGCTTCGTATGGGCTTGTAGCCGGAATGCTGTTTGTCCTGGGACTATGGGCTAGCGTGAAGAATGAGAATCGTTTCCGCTCCACACTGATCACATCATGTCCACGAGCACAACAACCCGCCCTCGCCCTCGGTTTCCTCCGCGTGTGTGACCTGGTTTTGTTCGCGCAACAGGCGGACTCGTACACCGTTCCGTCCCGTCGGGACCCCTCCGCCCGCCAGGGCGAGACGAAGACATACAAGCTTGCGGAGAGCACCGACGACACGACCATCGGCGTTTGCAACGAGGAGGGAGAGATCGTCGACACCATGCAAGGGAAGCGGATCCGCTTCTGATCCGAACGACTGCTTGCAAGAGGAAGCACACTACGCTCCCCGATGTGCTGCAATTTCGCTGCTAATGCCGCTAGTGATATCGTCGTTCATGAGCGTCCAGAGAACATGATGCTCCCCGATGTGCTGGAATTTTGCTGCTAATGCCGCTAGTGATATCGTCGTTCATGAGCGTCCAGAGAACATGATGCTCCTCGCACGCTATGTCGGGGACCGTTAGCATACAGTAGTTTTCTGGCAAGAAGCCACACGCATCATCGCTTGCTGTCCCATTTGGTTTTATTTTCCGTGTTTTTTTTTAGCTGCGGCATACGTACACTCTACATACATGCCATTGTTTAGAAAGTTGCCCAACACTGAGGTGATGTGCCGTACTATTTACCCTTCGAGGGTTTCAGGCCTTCGTTCAGGTACTCGTTGATATCGTATGTACCACCTCCGTGAGTCTCGCTCAACTTGTGTTGCATGCAGCTTTTCTGCGAGGTAATCTCTCAAGTGTAGACTATCCTTTTGAACCAGTGCCATCCCCTCCTATAGATCGATAACGACGAACCCGTTGTCCTGAGACACCTCCATACCATCCTCGTCAAGGTGTGGAACGGAGGAGATATCCCCCAAGAGTGGAAGGACGCAACCATCAAGGTGTTGTACAAGAAGGGTGACAGGTCCAACTGTAACAACTACAGGGGGATTTCGTTACTATCTCACGTAGGCAAGGTTCCCATCAAGATCATCACCAACCGTCTAAGCGCCTTCTGCGAAGCCAACAACATCCTCCCGGAGGAACAGTGCGGATTTCGACCCGGGCGATCCACCGTCGAAATGCTGTTTGTCGTGCGTCGCCTCCAGGAGCTGGGGCGGAGAAAGAAAATACCGCTCTACATGTGCTTCGTCGACTTGAAGAAGGCGTATGATTCGGTGGACCGAGAGATGCTATGGAAGGTGCTGGCCAGGGCCGGGATTCCCGCGAAGCTAATCAAAGTCATCCGCCAATTCCACGATGGAATGCGGGCCCGGGTGCGCATGGACGACGGAGAACTATCGGACTGGTTCTTCGTCACACAGGGCGTGCGACAAGGATGTGTACTATCCCCACTGCTGTTCAACATCTTCTTCGCCGAGGTCCTCGAGGTCGTCGTTATCCGATTCAGCGAGGATGATGTTGTTCTGCGGAATCTGGTGTGCTTGGAAGAGGGGAAGACGGAAGCGGGGGGGGGGGAGGAGACACCCCTTGACCGAGTACGGAGGGCAGTATGGGGGATGCTGTATGCCGATGATGCCGGCGTCGTATCGAGGTCTGCAGAAGGACTGGCGAGAATGATGACCATCATCGTTGAGGTGTTCGGAGAGTTCGGGCTAACGGTGTCGGAAAAAAAGAAGGAGACGCTCCTGATGCGCGCGAAGGACAAGCCGACTGCAACATCACAGTCCCCCCCGCCTCCTCCTCCACCACTGACTATCGAAGCCGCGGGACAGAAATACGCCCCGACGACCGAGTTCCGGTACCTCGGTGGCCTCCTCAACGAACATGGCGACCTCACCCGGGAGAACAGCTACAGGAGCAGAGGAGCGTGGGCGTGCCTCAGGCGATATGGCCAGGAGCTCTTCGACAGACCGAAAGCGCCATTCCGACTCAAGATCCGCCTCCTCCAGGCGGAGGCGATGGAGGCACTGCTGTACGGCTGCATGACATGGTCACCACTCAGCGGCCACTATCAGACGCTGCGGTCGACACACCACCGACTGCTCCTTCGAGTTATCGGGTACAAGCGCAAGAAAGACACCTACCGGCAGCTCTCGTACGCCCAGACGCTGAAGAGGGTCGAATGCCAGAGCGTTGAAGCCACGATCCGACAACGACGCCTACCGTTCGCGGGAGCACTGGCAAGGCAGCCGGACGGGCGACTCCCGAAACGACTGATGCTCGGCGAGCTGGCGGGGGGGGAGAAGCCACGTTGGGGGGGACAGGAACAGAACTGGCCGAAGTGTGTGCTCGACGACCTGAAGGCCTTCGGGGCCGACCACGGATCTACGAAAACCGACCCAAGTTGTCTCGGAATTCCCGTACCGAAAGACACGGCACCGAAGTCAAGGTGGACGGAAGCCGCGAAGGTGGAGGGGGGAGTACCCTGGCATGCGGCGGTGCTGCAGGGAGCTGAGAGGTTCATGACCTCCTGGCACGAGAAGGAAGAAGAGGCCAGCCGACAACGAGCGCTCAAACGAAACCACAAGCCAACAACCAATGGGGCGGGAGGGGGGCAGGAGACGGACGAGACGGCGAGGGAAGAAAGCAAACGAGAAGAGACGGACCGAGTGGCACGAGACGTGCCGGATTGAATTTCTTTTCGCCAATTCCCCCCCCCCCAACGCTGCACCATTGCACCAACCCCCCAGTAGTAGTGATTTCGTACCATTACAATGTATCGCTGGTTGGTGGCCATGTTCGCGTGTTTGCTTGTTCGTTAGTGGTCTCTCCAGCGTGTGCCTTGTTCTGCCTCATACTTCCTGTTATTTTCGGCCTGGTCCCTCTTTGTTCTCGCCCTTTTTTATTTTTTTTTCATTTATTTTCTCTTCTCCTTACGGTTTCCATTTTTCTTTTTTCTCCTTTTTTTTCTTTTTTTCTTTTTATTTTTTCTCTCTTTTTTTCTCTCTTTTTCTGTGCCAGATGGCCTTGTCTCTGCTTGCGTTGTGAAGTACCAAGATTGAACCAAGGGAGTGCACCTCTTTCTCTCCGGCCCATGATAGATAGTGACTGCTAGTCTCAGTTGATACCCCGCATAGCGCGAAGAGGGAGCGGAGGATCCCAGAATATCTGTCGTTGATTTCTATTGACTTGCGGACCCCTCGGGGCCAGTTTATTTGAGTGTACCTTTTTAGGGTAAGTGAACCTGTGACCACGGGAATCGACCGCGTCGAGTGTTGGATCAGTACGGACATACGAAGGTACTGGGTAGAGAGAGATCGGAACGGTTTTTAATGTGAAGACAACAACAACAACAACAACAACAATTTGAAAGTGGTGTACCTTGTTGATCCTTTGTTGATCCTTTGTTGATCCTTTGGGAAATGGCGGGAGAGGTTTGTGAATACAAATTGTATGAGCTTTTTTTTTGCACGGGTTGCAGTTGCTCGTGAGCAAAATATCCGACACCCACGTGCCGCACGCACTGAAGTTGTCGTTGTGCGTTGTAAGGTGGATTCTGCGATTGTGTCCCGAGTCGATGAACCGGCAGAAATGGCTGTGCCGTTCCGGGGAGACAATGCCGCTCCCAGGAGAGGTCGAACTATCTTGATTGTTCCCCTGTCTCTTCTCAATTGGATTCGAAATTCACTCTGACGATCGAAGTGTTGTGAAAGGATCGGACTAGAATGAATGTGAGTTGACTCAATATATCGCACGGAAAGTGATGTAGTGTTGTCCAGCAGAGCAAACTTTGTCAACTTAATTGTTCGATACGTGTGCTGTTGTTTTTGCTGTTCGAAGTTGAAGAAGCCGGTGTTTGTTTGTTGAACCGAGGATACTGGCCGGGAAGAGTAAGGCGTTGCATGAGTCTATATCGGGTGTTGTGTTGCCGAAATCGTTTGGGCATTCATATCCAAGCATGGATTTCATTCACGTTCTTATCCAAGGGTCGTTACAATTGTACCATGTGGTGGGTAAGCGCTTATGGTTTTAATCTTGATCGCGAAATGATCAGAGGTTCGTGTGAAGCGATTCAAGATTCCAATTTTCACTTTGTATTGCTTATGCGACCGAGTGAGTATGGGTTCACAATGTATTTTCAACTTCCCACTTTCACTCTTGTGCTCACCAGCATGCATAGTTTGGCCGTCTCTTGGAAATATAATAAAAACCAGGTACCACTAGTGTGTTTTTGGTGGGTGCATGTTCTAGAACCATGCGCGCAAAAGGGGACAACGTGCCGGAAGAAGCGGACCGATGCACCATAGTGCGTGTGTCTTTCCATTTTTACCGGCGTACACTGGCTGACCAACGAGAACACGGAACTACATCGTTCCTTCATTCTTTATGGCGAGAAACGTGGGACAAGACAACACAGGCGGACACGAGATACACCCCTTAGCATGCGACTCTCTGCTCTCTAGACTATGTAGTTTTTTTTTTCAGTGGTTTCGAGGTTCGACGTTATTACGTGGATCGATTTGCTCTTGTTTGTTTGTGAAATTGGGTTTTCTGCGGCGGCACGCGTGGGGAGCCGGCGGTACTTATTGTTGCAGACGTATCAACGCGAGCAGAAAGTATTGTCCGTGTTGCCTGTCTGTCTGAAGCTGATTTTGATCTGCGGATTTCTTTAGTTTGCCTCTAGCTGAGTTTACAGGATTGACAGATCACGACCCGACGGCGGACGGAAGCAAAAATATTAAGAAACCCACAAGCGTGCGGTGAGAAAAAGGGTGTATTCGCCGGTCAACCGTTCGTTGTTGTATTCTCGTATTATTTTCAGTCGTCACGATCGCTCCTCAGTCAGTCAGTCACAATATCTTCTGCCCGCTGCCACCCCGAAAACGTATACCGCAAAAGAGTACACTTACGACTTGTTGTCTTGTGCAGGAAAGGAAATATTATCGAAAGAACGTCTCTATGTATGTAGTTTGTAGTTACTATTTAGCGTGATGATGATTGATGCACATTTATTTGATATTATTTCTGAATTCTTAAATTTTAGACTACGGTAGAAGAGTATCGCAACGAATGAATCCATCTGTGAATGAATCATCTACTATCCATCGATAGGAGGATGTCATGTTTTTCAACCCATACTTTTTCGAGAAGAAGAGGAACAATGAGCGATCCATAACGTCAGAACAAACGGAAGATCTAAACAGGAAGACGGCGAATGAACCGGTGCAGAGGAGAGACACAGCGCGCATGGCCACACAGACAGGCCGCATACGTTCTACCTACCTCAAGCTCATCTAGAAAGCAGCGCATCGGCGCGCCGAATAGCGGTTTCTTTCGAATCTCCTATCATCATAACTTGTTGGCACTGCAGTTACTCACTCACTCGGCCCTCACCCAAATATTTTCATTACTACATAGGCCACATCTGAAAGTATAATGTGCCGTCGTCGGTGGCTGCAAAGTGAACTCTAAGATTCCTACTGTTCCAAATGTATTGTTCGAGAAGCCAAATAGAGCGATCAAGACGGCGCACACTACACGGTGAACTCGTGAAGACGATGGAGAAACAGCGCACATGGTCGTACATGACCGTCCACTTGCTTGTATTGTGGAGTATGCCATGCATACAGCGCGCGGAAGTTGATGTAACTTGTGAGGGACCATGATTTGCGGTGCCCTACCGAGACATAGTCCAGATAGATGTCGCAACACGCGCGCGATGATAGGTCGGTCAAGATCGCCTTTTTTTCGCATGGTCGGGCAAGGGTGGGGGTATCGGAATATCAGCATCTGCGACAAATATTGTTTCCATCGGAGAGACCGAATGAAGCTTGCAGTTTGAGGAATACAGGCTGGATTTTTTTCAGTTGGTATGGTAGCATTTTCTGCGCATTCGCTGCAGGTTGACCACGTTCTTCTTGCAGGCGGGAATATTCTGTGTCCCTTGGACGAATGGATGGAGTGAATCCTTCCAGGCGTGTTCCCAGACATTATTCCTTCCCGAAAAAATGGCGTCACAAAAATGGTTCCATAGAGAGAGGGATTCGGACCGCGTTGTTCTCTTGTTAGATGTACAGCATATCCACTACCCTCAAGTCAGCGCTGCCTCCTAAATAGCATGGTGGACATGCTATACATTTACAAAGCACGCGACTTACGCGTGAGCAATACCTTGCGGCCGGGCGTGACACCAGATTCACTTACCTTCAAAAGATGATTTCGTTCTGAGCGGTACGACACCCTGCACAGAGTGGCCCAGTCTGCATATATCACTGCCTCATTCAGGCGTGTCTGAGGGTGGTGGTCGGGGGAGAGGGACAGGGGATTTCATCCAGTCGGCGAGTGGGTGCTGCCACATGGTCCGAGGGATGTGCTTCCTTTCTATGCGATCTGCTGAGTATTGTTGTGTTCCCGATACCCGCCCGGGTTTGTTTGGGCGCAAACAAAATGCACATACCCCAGGGCAAAGCCCCGATGTCCGAGAGCCCCTAGCCAGGCGTGCGTCGATGTGACACATTCCGGAGGTTTCGGTTCCTGCCCCAGTCTTGCATTACACGGGTGGGTGTGATAATCAAATCCTCTCCTGGGGTTCAGTGTTCAGTGTTGTAACGGTTTTCGGATTGAACGGAGAAACCTTGTAGGCGGTTCCTCGAAAGAATACAAATTATCAACCACGCCGTGAAAGAGCCAACACGAAGTTTTGAGTCATTGCACCTTTCTTGGTACTCAAAATCGACGACAAACAAGGTGTCCTGCACGAGCTTCAACTCTTCCCGGCCAAGATCCCCGACTCACGTATTATTAACAGGTAAGTTGACGACCTTTGCGCTGATATTTCCCGATCCTATCGCAGCACTTAACACAATCATCAGCGTGCGTTTCGAAAACAAACGTGAGGCAATAGCCACGAAAATATACCAAGAGACCAAGAGTAAAGTCCTCCCCCTTAGGAGTGCTAGTGTGATCCGGAAAACGCACCGCTAATTCTGCCGGTTCATCCACTGGGACCAAACCGTAAAAAAAAAACATCATTCAATGCACAACGATATGGTGACGGGCACCTTGCTTACGTACGGGATGGGGACAACGGCTATATTCCTCACGAACGACAGCAACCCGTGTAAAAAGCCAAACAAATTCACACACAGCACCTGTCAATCACACAAAGGATGGACAAAGGTGCAACATCTACGAGTAGGAGACGGCACTGGTTCGCGCATCAAAAGTATGCACGTCTGAGGGTAGTAGCTAAACAGCAATCACATTGGGCGAGATTTCCACAGCAGTAGGTAGAAACGCTATCGACGAGTGGCTGATCTTTCGGGTCCGCAGAAAGGGCCAGCAACCGACGGACGCGAAAACGGCCCGACACCTCTGGAACAGTAAATAGCATGGTGCATTCCCAAGTGTTGGGCTAAAAAATTGCATGAATCTAAGTGTGCCGAAGCTAAAAACAAAAGAGTACCAAAGCGAAATGGGAAAACAGGCGACGGTACTTGTTATAGCTTGTGAGCAAACACGCTAGTTTGTAGCTATATATTCTAAACAATCCTGAACACCGCACAAGATGCATCATGTCCTCTGCACGCTCGTGAACTTCAGCGGCCGCTTGGGAAGCAGTAGCTAAACTCGCAGCATATTTTGGGGCACAGCGGTGTTCCTCTTGCAAGCAGTCGTTCGGATCAGAAGCGGATCCTCTTCCCTTGCATGGTGTCGACGATCTCTCCCTCCTCGTTGCAAACGTCGATGGTCGTGTCGTCGGTGCTCTCCGCAAGCTTGTATGTCTTCGTCTCGCCCTGGCGGGCGGAGGGGTCCCGACGCGACGGAACGGTGTACGAGTCCGCCTGTTGGGCGAACAATAACCAGATCACACACGCGGAGGAAACCGAGCGCGAGGGCGGGTTGTGTTGGTGCACGATAGGGTGAACATCCCACCACATTGCGCATTAACACCGTGCAGGCCTCTGGTGTAGGAGTAGGAGACAAAGCTCTTCACCGCAACGAAGAGATTGGCTGGGACCACAATGGACGTCGGGCAGGTTTGTGCACCGTTTACTTCGACATTGGTGATGCCTGTGGGTAAGTTTCCACTGAGTCGTGGGTTTGGGCTGTTGTCGGATTATAGAGAGGAGAACGTGGGCACCTATCCGAGCGGTTTTCTGGTATTTAAAAATGAATACTCTTGCGTAGACGTTTACAATGAATTCTTCGAAGAGGAACTTTGCACGACATGGGTGATATTTTCGAAATGAGGGAGGTAAGCTGGGAGTGGTAGAGGCCTCCATTCTCTTACCTTCGACGATTGGACGACGTAGCCTTGGTCAGCCAGAGACGCGCACGTCAGCTTCGAAAGCGGCATCGTACCCTGGGGCATCCAGGAGAAGACGGGTGTGTGCGGAAACAAGGACAAAGAGGTCAAAATCAAGAGCTTGCTTCACGCCGCTGGTGGTGCCATCTCATCGCTGTTTGGGGGGCTTGCCTGCGCAAATATGCATTTCTCGGTGCTGATATATCCGACCTACAGTATCAATCCCGCTCGATGATTCATTTTCAAGAAAAATATAAAAAAAAGGCACTCAATCCGTCCATAGAGTGAGTATGACACAGATCGAAATCATGGTCGGGTCCGTGCGTAACCGTGAACAGCCGACATCGTAAGAAGGGGCGTCATTTCCACGCCCTTGGCAAGGGAGGGGACACTAGCATGACGATTTGACGACGTACCGCATTGACGAAGCCAGTCATGAGCTCATCTTCGAACGTAGATTCGCTGAAGTGTCCGCAGCTTGTACCTGAGAAAGAATCGCGAACCGTGACAGAGTTGACGCACGATTTTTAGAAAGTTAGCGAACGTACACTCGAGCGCGAAAACATCTGCGGCTAGCTTCATCATGTAGCCTTTTGAGCGGAATACAAGGTCCACATGGACGACGGGCCCATGATCGACATAACATGAGTGACAAGCTAGCTCAACCCTGTGCCATCGTACAAGCGGCAGCAACCCCTTCCACGGAAGTTTGATAAACGTCATGATCCAGTTAAAACTTTCGAACAACAGTTCCAAGACAAATGGCAGTGCACGATGGCAGAGTTGCACGTACTGTTTCGTTGCCCCGCATGCAGTCCTGCATTAAGCTCACCGGTTCCGCCTTCGAGCTCTACAATATCGGCCCGGGAACCAGCAGGGTTGCCCATGAAGTCGTTGTACACCTGGGCAGCCAGGGGGCACTTCCATTCCGCGCTGCCGGTGCTGTCACAATCGGAACACTCACCCCACAGGGTACTGGTGGTAGACGTCAAGAAACACACGGAGCGCAAAGACGGACAGCAATGCATGAGTTTCGATATAGATGAGAAGAGCCCATCTACAACCCGCAAGTGCTGTAGACCCCCGAGCGGCAACCTCGCAAGATATGGGCCGAATCCTTCACAACACTCGCACGAGGGTAGGCATGCCAAGCACATCCTTCTGGCTCTGGTTCAACACACAATTGCGGGAACATACGAATCAAGTAATCGCGTCCCCCTGCAAGGATGTCATCTCACCCGGTGCCGATAACGTGGCCCATCTCATGGAGGATGACACCTTCGAAGGTTCCCTGCCTCTCCATCTCAGCGATGTCGTCGATGTCGAACGTCCTGACGATGGATACCGGGAGCATGTGAACGGTTAACAGGCTATGAAGACAACTACGATACCGTGGTAAAAACAGACGTCCCGAACGCAGAAAGAAAGCCCTGCTTTCAGCGTGCAGGCGATGTTTAAAGAGTGGACAGTCAGCTCCACGTCGTGTGCATCAAGTGGAAAAACACTCTTCCAACCTGAAAATCACCAACTACAAACTGCAACCACTCTCACATCTCTCCGGAGTAGCTGATGCCGCGGCAGTCATTGTAGGTGCCGCGAGGCCCGGCGAAGCCCAGGGTTCCGTAGACACCGTCGATGGGTTCAAGAGTGGAGGTGATGGTAAGCTCGCCCGCGGCACCCCCATTGCCGTTGGTTCCGGAGCACGGGATGTGCGTCAAGATCTCCGACCACCTAATTCATCGGGTGTTTTGGGGGAACAGGAACCGGAGGGTCAGGGAAAGGTGCGGCGAGATCGCACCGGGCGCGTGCGAAGAATGCTGTACAAAGGCGACCAGGCGAAAGGCTGAGCTCGATGAGACTGAGCTCCTACGGAGATGGCCTCCCAGCCTCACCTGTTGGCTGCCCTTTGGAAGACGCCCTTGCGTTCGTCACTCCACGTTCCCAGGAAGTCCACTGTGATGAAGAACTCTGACATGCCTGAAAAGACAAGTAGATGGGGCCCGGTGTGAACTTTCGCACAACAAGTACGGCGGTCATGTACGCTACATACGGCTCCTTGCGTTGCTGGAGCCTTCAAAACGTAGATACTTCCCCCACACCCAACTCTTTTCGGCTACAGTACGGACACAAAGAGTTTTAAACAATGGCACGCGTTTCAGTTGCAGAAAACTGCAATCCTCTCCTTGTTGGTCGATTGTTGGTGCCCAACGAGAGCAGGTATCCACCTCACCCGTAACGTCGGTCTCGCACATCATCCCCCCGTAGCTGCTCCCGCAGCTGCAGGTGTACCCACCGTTGGGGTCCACCTCGCACGACCCTCCGTTCATGCAAGGGTTCGGGTTGCATGCACCAACGCCAGGGCTTTCGTCTGTCACCGGGGCCGGAGTGGGCTCGGGCTCGGGTTTAACGGGGGCCGGAGTGGGCTCGGGCTCGGGCTTAACAGGGGCCGGAGTGGGCTCAGGCTCGGGCGCAACAGGGGCCGGAGTGGGCTCAGGCTCGGGCGCAACAGGGGCCGGAGTGGGCTCAGGCTCGGGCGCAACAGGGGCCGGAGTGGGCTCGGGCTCGGGCTTAACAGGGGCTGGAGTGGGCTCGGGCTCGGGTTTAACGGGGGCCGGAGTGGGTTCGGGCGTTACAGGAGCACGGGTCGATGGTTCCGGTTCAGGTGAAGGCGGGTCAGTCTCGGAGACGGGAGGGGAGGTGGGGAAGGACGGAGGGAGGGTGACAGGGAGCGGTTGAGCTGTTGTCGGGATAGGCTCTTCCCCAGTGGAGGGCGGCGGGGTGGTGGCTGCGGGGGCAGGGGTAGTCCCGGGCGAAGGCGTGTCCGGCGGGGCAACCTGTTGGCATTCCTCCTCCGATTGTTCGGGGAGTCCAACCTCTACCTCGATGGCTGCAGGGTCCCCGTAGTCGCCACTGCAGTTTCGAGGGGGGAGAGGGGCGGGAGGTCATTCGTTTGTTCCGTGCCAAAGGCAAGGTGGCTGTATTGTACCGAAAGCTATCACGCTTGTTGGGCGGGTGCATTGTAGAAAATGGTCTCAAGGGCGCGCCACCCGAACGAAACGGAAACAAACGCGTGCGTCAGCTCACATCGGGTCGTAGTTGCAGACCAAGACTTCCACGTCGATGTACTGGTAGACGCATGAGCTGATCGCACATCCGAGCTTGGTTGTAGACGCCCACAGCATGCGCCTAGCACGGATGTCGTACTCGGTTACAGGTCCGTCGTCGACTGCATAGTCGTCTGCGGGGGTTGGAAGTCCCAAACAGACGAAAATATGCGAAGCGCCGCAGAAAAGGAAACAGTTGAAGGCCGTTGTTGTGGTAGGGTTGGAGAACCGAGCAACATCTGTGCGGAATCAATCACGTCCAGCTCGAGAGGTAATTTTTGAAACGGCAGTTATGCAATGCTTGGAAACGGAGAGAACGGCTGCGGGGAGGGCAAGGAGAGGGAGGAAATGGTTCGGACCCTAGCTCAACCGAAATCACTGGGAACAACAAGTGTTGTAACCGGGCACATGATGCTTCTTGTTATTTCACGCTTTTCGTTTCTTCGCATACTTTGGAACTCCGCGTAGTTTTCGTCCGAAATACAAGGTCGACCCCAAAATTGCAAGACGGTCGCAGTGGCAGGTTGCATCGACCACAACCATCGCTCCATTTCTTTCAAAAAAACGTCACGGCACTCACACATTGTGTCCAGCACTCCGTCGTACATCATGCAGTCGGCCGCGCCATAGCACAGGTAGAGGTTTTCGCCGTAACCGTGCGCTGTCACGTCGCTCCAGAACAAATAGCCACAATTTTGCCGCGAGGTGAGCTCCTCAGCGTGACCCTGTCACGTTGGGAGGAGGGAACAACCGACGGAAGTTTCGCGAAATGAGGTGGGGGTCGGTGTCAATGCGGCCAGGGCGCCTTGGCCACAAATGGATATGAGGAGGGGAATACGATGATGAGAAGTAGTAGTTGGCGCGAGTCCAAAAGACCAGCTGGAAGCTACCCTTAGGATCCTACGCCGACGTGATGCCAGAATGTGCTCGCTCCCCAGGGGCAGCGATGTTGGACTTACCCTGGCAGTCTCCTCCATGGTTTCGTCCCATGCCAAGGGCTCCGCGCCGTGCACGCACCTGCGGTGGTAGGCACGGGTGGTGCGTCGCCGGGTTCAGAAAAAGGAAGAAGGCATTTGGTCGAGACGGTGCTGCGTGGGGAGAATATTTCACTATTTAGACAGGACATGCAGGTGCATGACCGACATCGAGAAGGCCGGGTCCAGTTGTTGCCGGAAGACATGCGAGGGGGGCGGAGTCGCTGTAGAAAAGATGTAACCATGCCACAAATCTCTTGTCGACGGTCCCAACACACCTCGTTTTGATCGAGGTGCGTGGACGCAGCATTCGTACAATCTGATCAACATTCGCGACTATTGTAATAACCGCAGTAGTTTAGGCGTTATAGCTATACGTGCCGATGAAGCGACGACTCCTGCTTCGATTTACCGTAGATGCTCACGTACGCAACGCACCGTACATCGGGTCAATTTCCGAAGTCAACTTCCCGAAACAAAAAATGCCACTATTTGATGTGACTGCTTCTGACCTAGCCTCGTTGTGAAGGTCCAGCAAGACCTGCTTCTCGGAAGAGTCGTCGACGCTATCTCCGGCATCTGCCGGCCCAGTTTCTCCAATGTAGTAGAGATCGAACGACCAAAACCCTCCTGTTTGTTTCGGATGCATTGATACCGATCGGCGGTCAACTTGACCATCATACGCATATTTACTAGGGGTTCACACAAGTCATGCCATATCGAAGCATTTCGTTGGTTGTAGCAAGGATTTATCGGCGACGACCTTGTTCCTACTGTGAAGGTCAGAAATACCCCGATGTAGTGTTGAAGCAGCCACGTCAGTTCCTGCACGAGTTGAAATGCATCCTCCGCTAAACAGTCATGTTCATACATTGGAGAAAGCAGGAGGCTTTGGACGTGTTGGGAGCGTACAGCAGTGTTGGAACGCACCGCAAACAAGGTTGTCGTCGCCTTTGCAAGGGTGGTCGCAAGTGCCCGGTCCGTACTGCACGTGCCGTTTCTCCTCCTCTTCGGTCCCGCAGTAACATTCGCGTCCGTATTGCAGGCCCATGAAGTCGTAGCCGTTGCTGGAGCAGTGCTCGTAGCACAACTGCACAACACGGCAGGATAAGAGTGAAGTTCCGGCGTCATTACATCCGTGCTTGACGCACAGCAAGACTGCCCTGTCGGCGGTCAACAGCAATTGCATACCATGGTACCTCCCTGTGAACCAGAGAGTAGACGCGTCAAGCAACTGTACAACAGGATGTACACTGCTACAAGCAATCAGCTGCTGTGTGCCCGGGACATCTCGTCTGCAGCAGGAAAAACGCCTACTCTGCAGTCGTTTCGCTGTCGGATAACACAGCGTGCAGCGACTGCTGTGTTTGTCTCGCAAGCTGGGTTGCTATGTCAAGTACGCGGGAGCAGAAAAGTGCGGGGTAACCAGCCAGGGTAACCTGTTCTGGGGTACATGGATACCATATTCGACACAGGATAACACCCCCCCCTGTACCGATTTTCAAAGCTCGATTTCTCAACAGCAGAAAGAGTCACAGCGCCGAAAACGGTGCCATCGAAGCCGTCTCGTCGAGAACTTTCCGAAAATGTACCGTGCCGTTAATTCATCTTGGTCGTGGCGTAATCGAGCTTTGAAAATCGGTCCAGGGCGTGTGTCATGTTGTGTCGTATGTATTCGGTAGGTGGTGGGGTGGTGGTGCTTGGTGGTTCCTTGGTTCCGCCGCACGCCGTATACTGCTGGTTTCTAGACTATACAGGTGCTCGGCGGAGTGTGTGAGGTGTGAGAGGATGGCGAAGCTCCATGGCCAGCCTCTCAGGATGCCTCTCACCCAGTCTTTCAATTATGCTCTCTTTCCGCCCTCAAAATCGGGCACGCTACTGCTGTACATACATACGCACGTTCACCACGGGTTGCGAGCCTCACATACATGCTTTTTCGCTACGAGCTGCGGACAGCCCGGCGAGCCAAGGACGCGCCCAATTCTTCATACACTGCACACCAGCGACCTCAGCACTGCTTGCAACGGTTCTATCCGGTTACAGTAGACTTCGGAACAACGCGGGATAACATTTCGAAGTGCTTTTCAACCTGATGACCTCAAGAGTACCAGTGCAACTGCGCACACCTAGAGCACTACAACTAGCGGTCAGTCATCATCAAGCGCAACATCAACAGGACTGATGTTGCTTGAACCCTAGACCCATATCATAACTCATAGCCCAAAACTCTAGAACTACATTAGGCTGTTGTGCTCTCGTGTTCTTGGAAGTCTGTGTGCCCAAAGGCTGAAAAATTGAAAAAAGACGCTGCTTTCATTTATTGGATCCAACCGACATATTTTTTTTGGAATTCGGATTCCACGAGCGTTCGCGGCACTGCGCGTGTACATGGAAGTGTGCAATCTGGTCAAGTTCATGACATAACAATCTCATGCTGTGGACTATGCATTCAACAATTCTAGTCGAGGATGCCAGCTGGCATAGAGAGCTGCACGGTCGCGGTTTGCGCAGGGAAGCTAGCATGCACTGTTTTGGTGTCGCATGTTTCTGCACACACTACGGACACCCTACGAGCCGTCGTAGACTACGTGTGTGTGCAAGAAGAATGTCCCGCATACGCAGACTTCCAGAGATACAGAGATACGTAAGTAGACTGGCTGTTCAGTTGTGGTGAACGACAGGACAGAGTGTGCCCGCCTTGTGTGTCACAATCAACGAACAAAGCCTGTACTCCCCGCGCGAGTGGTACGCGAGCCTTCTCTCCCGCGTCCACCCCACCATGTTTTTCTTCTCACCTCCGGAGTCATTTCATTGGATCTGAACCCGTCATCCATGGCTCGGCCCTGCCCCTCCTCCCCCTCGTCCGCGTAGCAGTCGATGTACTCGTACGAGGATGTCTCATACGACAATCGTCGGAGTTGACGCTGCTGCTGATATTGCATAAGAGGGAAAGCACAGGGTGGGCGGTGTTTCGGCCCAAAAGGTTATGAGCCTGACGGCAGTTACTTAGTTTTGGAACGGATATCTTGGGTTTGGGGGCGAGATGAGATTGATTGTGGGATTTCGTGCCCGTGCACACTGAGATATGCATGCAACGGTACCAGGTTTGGTCAGGTTCCGAACCCTTTTGGTACACGATAGACTCGACTAAGCACCCGCAGTCGGGTGGCGGCAGGTGGGCTCTGTTCAAAGAATGGGGCGGGTACGCACACAAAATTACAGTATGTGTGTGTATGCAAGGCGCGAGCAATTTACTCACGTGAATGCCAACAGCTTGCCCTTGGCGAGAAGTGGTTCGGATAGCTCCCCGACCAAGCGCGGCGGGGAGTAACGTGGCAGACACCACAGCAGGAAGGTACATCTGCGCATGTAGTACGGCGGAGCGTATTTCGGCGACAGCGGTGAGAGTGGTTTGACATCGCTCGGCGGTGTGCTGCGCGTTCAGATCTTCTCAGCAGGTGGGATCTGCTGGGGCAGGAACTGCTCTTTGGATATCGGGCGCCGGATAGTTTGCTGCAGACACACAACACACAACCCTGCATACTTTAGGACACTTTTTGGGGGCTGCGAATGACAAACCGGACTGCTTGCCAACACCTTACAATGCACGCTAAGTTCGCATCCCGGGAGTTCAAATACGAGGAGAGCAACAGGGTGTATGCATATGTACTCGCACGCATCCTCTGCGGGAAAAACGAACGAGTTTTCGCAGGTGAATACGCCTGCATGCAGACTACATAGTCTATTAAGAGATGGCGCTAAAGGCGTATTTGCGGCGTATGGACTGTACCGCAATCACTCGTCTTCAGCTGCTCTCATCACGACGTGCAATACGCTATTTACCAAAAGAGGCTATAAAGACCCACCTTGATCGCTGGCTAGGAGCTCCCTTGACGTGAAAAGAACGTTGGATCGTGTAGCGTGTATGAGTGGGCGGTGGGGGAATAAAGCGCCGCGTGCCTGGCTCTTTGCTTCGGCTACTTTTTTTTCTATTCCATTTTTGGAAGTTGTTGTTCTGTTCGTTGAGAGGATGGCTTTTCTTGTTGTACAACAATAATTGTTGATGATGCATAGCAACACCTGCCGTACCATGACTTGGTTGGGTGGACGCGAACATGTGCATTGTCTCAACACTCTCTGTACCCCTTCCGCATGACCCCTCCCACAGATATCCATACTCAGTACTCAAGGACTACGGAAGGGTGTGGACTTACGCAGGACCGGATCATTGATATGGGTTCGGGCCGATTTCGGCCCGATCTCGGGATTGCAGTGGCGAGTGGTGACTGATGAGAGAGACAGAGACGAGTATCGGCGGCATGTGGCGGACCACTCTTGGGTCTGCATGCCAGAAGAAAAATAAGTCGACTAAGCCGTCGTTTAGTATGGCTCATGGTTCGCCGCAGGGGGGGGGCAAGGAACGACAATAAATTGAGGTTGTAGACTCAACAACTAATATTCGCCTACTTACTACGACACACCGACACACAGCAGCAGTGTGTGAGATTTTCAACGTATGTATCCGTACGTAACGATGTAAAGGGACTCGCTCGTCAAATTTTTCTTCCGTGTGAGCCGCGTCGTCGACAGCAGTGCGTACTGGTCGCCAATGTTATCATCGCGGTTCTACAATAACAGTAGCCTGTAGATGATGCATGCCGCAATGAACGCGATGTGTCTCGCACCAACTTGCAAGTGATTTTCGACCATCGACCATCGCTTTTGAAGTAGTAGTCCAGGCGGCCGTGCGGCCGATGTACAGCAGTACAGCAGTAGTCTAGACTAGTGACGTTTTGTGTCATATAGTTGCGCGTCCATTCATTCTCTCTCCGGGGGCAAGGACCTCCCCTCCACGTAAATTACGTGCTGGGTGGATGCGATCAGACGCAGCCAGCAAGAGCAAAATACCAAGGATTGGAAAGCTGCCCTGTAGAGCTTGCCCACCATACATAGGAGAGATATCATCGCTGTATGCTGCTCCGGGACTCGTAGAAGCAATGTATGGTCCAAAAGCGCAGTGCTTCCGCTATCAACGCAATGTGTGAAATCAGTGGATATGTACAAGTATCTGAACCTGACCCTTCCAGAAATTGTAGCCCAGCGAAAGCCAACTTCCTTCTATGGCGGCGTTGATCGATAATTCGGGTGGCTCAGTTGTGTGTGATGGGAGCGTAGAGCAGCTCGGCCATGACGGGCCGCACGGGTAGGTAAAGACGTGTAGACGTGGTGAAAAACGTGTTGTATTCATCGGGGGCGTGCTTGAGCTCGTCATTCCATCACGGCATCAAGTCACGCATAACGCTTTAATACCCAGAACGAATCTCCATGAATCTCCACCAATCTACTACACTCCCAAGGAAAACACAAAGAAACTTCTTGTCCCTCCGTAGTTCGTCACTGCAATCCCCGCATATGTATACGCAATATACCACCCCCATGCTATGCTACGAGTATATCGAATAGCCCCCCTGCTCGTATGCATCGTCATGCTCCAACAAAGTATCAAAGTCATCCTTATCATACCAGTTCATCCCAAAACAAATCAAAACCAAGACAAAATCGAAAACTCCAACACCAAAACAATACCTCCAAAAACAATCAATCGCATACCAACTCTTCCAAATCATCAAGAAAAATCCCGAACATTAACCTTCCAAAACACTACCATCTCCACTTGACCCTCTCTATCTCTTGTTCAAACTCGTACATATCCTCTCTCTTCCACTCAACGGCAAAGCACGATTTGATCCCAAAACACCTCTGTCACTGCAAATTCATCACAAAGTCTCTGTGCAACGCAAAAGATTCCTTGCTGATAGCCTTCGTCAAGAAATCTGCATGCTGAAACTCCGACGCCACATGAGTAATCGAAATCTCCTTCCTCTCTACCAGTTCCCTGATAAAGTGATGCCGTACATCAATGTGCTTCGAGTTTGAGTTCGTGATCGGGTTGTGCGCAATCTGAATCGCTCCCTGATTATCCTCGAAGATTTGAATGCACGGCATACCTGCATCTGGCAACATAAAACGCCAAACTTGCCTCAAGAAAAGCACCTCCTTCAAGACGTCGGCAATTGCCACATACTCTGCTTCCGTTGTGGAAAGCGTAACGCACTTCTGCGTCCTCGAAAACCAAGTCACACACCCACCCCCACACATCACTAGTCCTCCTGAAACCGACCTACGGTCTGCTGCCTTGCTCGCATAGTCAGCATCCACGAACACCTGCATGCTCATGCCAGTCACCACACCCCTCTCAAATGTAATCCCCATCCAACTCGTCCTACGCACGTACCCTAAAATACCAAGTGCTGCCTTCCAGTGCACCATCTTGGGAGACGCGCAATACCGCGCTACTGCTCGTACTGCATTCGCGATGTCCGGCCTGGTTTGAGTGGCCAACCACATCAGGGATCCTACCAACTCGCGGAAAGGGACATCAGCACACGCTTCGTCCTCGTCAAAGTCGGTGAGCTTCATGCTCACAGGCAAGGGCACACTCTTCCCCCACTCTACGCCGTACTCTGCAGCCAACTCTTCTGCAAACCTTTGCTGCGAGATCCTCAAAAGGCCTCTCTCTAGATCTCTCTGGTAAAAGCACGCGGAGTACCACCTCAACTCCCCAAGGTTCTTCACGGGGACCATCTCGTTGAGGTCTCTGCCAAACTTGTCACATCTCTCCTTCTGCCCTACGGCAAAAATGTCATCCACGTGGACCACGATGATCATGATCACACATCCATCCTCCATAAATCGAAAAACACATGCATCCGCCAAACACTGCACAAATCCTAAAAGTAACAAACACCTCGTCAGGTGCGCATGCCATTGTCGTGACGCCTGCTTCAAACCGTACAGACTCTTGCATAGCTTCACGATCAGTCCAGATAACCTACCACAACCTTGCGGGAGACGCATGAAAACATCCTCTTCAAGCTCAGACTGCACAAACGCCTGCTGAATATCGAAATGACACAAGTCAAGGTTCTGCTCACATGCCAAAGCTGCCAACAAACGCACACTAGACACGGATACGGTGGGTGCAAACAATTCTCCAAAATCAATCGAAGCCCTCTGCATGTCCCCCCGCGCTACAAGTCTTGCCTTGAATTTCGTCGGCCATCCGTACTCGTCTGCCTTACAGTTGAATACCCACTTGGCGTTGATGAAGTTTTCTACTGGTTGCTACACCGGACTAAAAGTACCTGCATCCAACAGACCGAAAAACTCCCGACCGACTGCATCATCCCACAACTCTGAATGTTGAGACCGCATGGCCTCCTTGAACGTTTTCGGCACGCGGAGGTCGCTGGCGAGGCAGTGAGGGAGGTCCGGCATCTTGTCAGGAGGGCGCTTGGCACGAAGAGTGGCTTCCACGTCCTCGCGGGTGGCGAACATTGCTGCGAACATGTGCAGGCCCCCCGGCCCTCCAGCTCCTGCGGCCCCCCCGCTCCCATGGCCTGCTAAACTCGTATCTTGCGGCGGTGGGGGAGCGGGAGGGGCGATGCTGGCGGACGCTGGCAGGTCTCGACGTCCTTGATCGACGGCCTCCCGGGTGGCGAGCGACGAGACGAGCGCATCCTTGCCCATCATCGACAGCAGCCCAAGGCGGTGTTGGAGAGCGGTGCCGCCACCTGACGGCGACGGCGGTTGCTGTTGCTCATCCATGAAGCGCACTCGGTCGCCGCGCGTACGGCCATGCACTCTGGTTTCCTTCTCGCCCAATTCTCTGACGGCTCGCTGTGAAAGCGGCGGGTGATGGGGAGCGGGAGCGGCGGCGCTTGCGGGCGGGGGTGTCGGCGGTGGACGGGGCGGCGTGGCTGCGGTGGACGGCGGTGCACTCGAAGACGCCGTGGAGATCGGCGACGCGGCTCCGGACCCTGTGAAGATCGACGGAGAAGTGGGCGGCGGCGAAGCGGTGGTCGCTGTGGGCGGGGTGTAGGTGTACGTCCGCGATGCCCATGGCGGTGGCGGTGCGGCAGCGGCTGCAGGAACGGCGGCGGCCGGCGAGGGCGCCGCGGTGACCGAAGAGCCCCCCCCGCTGGCCGGTACCGGCGCCGGCACGGCGGTGCGGCGGTTGATCCACACGACGTTGTTGGACAGGCAGATCCTTCCGGTGTCGGCGCGGAGAACGACGGCAGTGGCGGCGGAGTGGTTGCGCGCTCCGTGCATGTAGAAGCAACGCACGGATTGGACGTCCGCCTTGCTGGCGCGCTTCACGCGCATCATCCCCTCCTGGAAAAAAGGGACGACGTTGAGCGGCGGTTTACGTCCGAAGAAGGCCTCGAACGGCGACATCCAGGCCGGGTTGGCCGACGTCGCGGAACGGTTGAAGCAGCCGGAGGCCCAGATCGCCGATGCAAGCCACAGCCGGTGTCCGTTGGCGTCCATACCGGGGATAGAGGCGAGGTCGACGTGGCCCATGGAGAGGACGTGGCGACGGGCGGCGTGGCCCCCCTTCATAGCGCGCCAGATTGCGCTCTCGACGACCGCATTCTGCTTCGGGGTGTCGGGTGCGGTGTACTCGCGCCGGATGCCAGCGGCGTCGCAGAACGCGACGAAGGCAGCACTGGTGAACTCACCACCGTTGTCCATGCGGAAACACCCCGGAGTGCCGTTGCCGTTCAGGTCGGCGAGGAAGCGCCGCGTGTACGTCAGGGTGTCGCTCTTGGCCCGCATGCCTTACGCCCGTTGCCACCGCGACGCGCTGTCCACGAACATGATCAGGTAACGAGAACCATCGAACGCCTCCGAGTACGGGCCGGTGATGTCGATGTGCACCTTGCCGAACGGTACCGCCGCGCGGGTGACTTCACGCCGCGGCACCGGGGCCCTCCTGCCCTTCGCCTCGATGCAGCCGACGCATGGCTGCAGTTCCCCCACCAATTGAACACCCTGCTGCTTTGCGGTTTCCCTCATCAAGAATTCATTCACGTGGCCGGTGGAAGCGTGGAACAAATTAATGTCGATGGTGGACGTGGGTTTTCCTACAGTGAACGCTGGACCACCGGGGGCGATAATCGCCAAAGCATGGGAAAGGGAGGGGGGACCTACATCTTGCTGCACACGGCACTCGACAACAAAGTCTCTGAGCACGTCCAACTCATCTTGCATCACAGCGAACGCAACGGGGGGCTTCACGGACTCACATACGCCTAATGGGTCGGGATAAAAGTCACCCGGCGGGACCGAGTCCTGTCCGTTCATCAAGCCTACATCCAAGAACATACTCATGTCCATCAAAGGCAAATTATCCTGGGACTCAAGGGGCATGATCTCTATCTCTCGCGACACATTCGGGTTCACGACTGAGGGGGACAGGACGTCGGATGAGGCGATGGCTGCGGCTAGGGTAGGCTGAAAATCTCGGATCGACGGAGACACTAAATCAACATCGATAGGCGGGGAAGCATCACTCGGAGGTACTACACCGGAAGTGGTGGACGGGATGCTCGAACTCGAAGGTACGACACCGGCAGCGCCGATGGGCGGGAAGCTCGAAGCCGAAGGTACAACACCGGCGGGACCGATGGACGGGAAGCTCGAAGCCGAAGGTACAACACCGGCGGGACCGATGGACGGGAAGCTCGAACTCGGACCGCATCCTGCACCCGATCCTGAAATCTGAGAAGGGGGAGGGGGGTTTTGCGCAAAAAGGCCAGTACCAACACCAGGCGGAGACGCTTGGCGGACAACGGGGGGAGGGACAACGGTAGAGGGGATTACATCACCGTCGCGGTACGAGGGAGGCAAGCGGGTGGCCGATAGAGAGCATCCGATATCCGAGTATGCGAAACTAAGCCGACCACCGAAAAAGGTGCACACCCCTCTCATCCAACATTATCCTGTGCTTTTTCTGCGTGTGGTGCAGAGAGAACAAGTTGAACGAAATCCCTGGTACTACGTACACGTCTGTCAATTGGACACAGAAATCCGCTTCTCCCGATCGACCTCCTGCCATGTGAAATGCCAGATTGACACTACCTACGCACTCCACGCGCAAATAAGCACCATTGCCTACTTTGATGAATTCTTTGCCGGGGGGGACAGGCGAGATGTTGTACATCTTGGAGCTGTTACTCACAAAATGGTTGCTTGCACCGCTATCAGACCAAAATACCTCCCTACCAGGACTGTATTCGCAACTCTGTGCAGACAAAGCAAAGCCAAGATCATCACCACATGCGACACTGCTTACATCACTCGAAACCGAAAGCGAACTCATCTCGTCAGCGGACACAAAGTGTGCCATCAGGGAGTGGAGATGCCCAGGCGGATAGGTTGCTGCTCCGGGAGAGGGCGACTGGGGCGGGGCATGGGTGGAGTGCTGCTGCTGCTGCGGCTGAAACGACGGCGGTGGCGGAGGCTGCGATGGTGGCTGCTGCTGCTGGTAGTACGGTGTCGGAGGCGGGTAGTACGGCTGCTGCTGGTAGTAGTCTGGCGAAGGCTGCTGCTGCTGCTGCTGCTGCTCCCACCCGCCATACTCGGTACCATTCGCGGGCCCCCCGTAGGGCATAGCACTATACGCGTGCATCACATTAGCGTGCCCGTACGGAGGCCGCCAAGGCGGTTGTGGAGGACGAGGGGGCGCTGCATACCTGTGCTGATGCTGTCCTCCGTAGCCGCTGTGAGGTCCGTGCTGAGGCCCACCGCCCCAGCCCCCCCCACTGTAGCTCGGCTGCTGCGGCGGCGGTCCGTGAAGTTGCTGTTGCTGAGGCTGCTGTTGCTGAGGCTGCTGTTGCTGAGACTGCTGCTGTTGGGGTTGCTGTTGCTGAGACTGCTGCTGTTGGGGCTGCTGCTGCTCCTGCTCCTTCCGACGGTCGCGCTGGGTGTAGCACTGGGCGTTGGTGTGGAACAAGCGCGGATGTAGGTAGCAGTGGTCGTTGTCGGCTCCTCTCTCACCTCCGCCTTTCTTGTTTCCTCTCACCCTGCTCCTGCTCCGACTCCGGGCGCCTCCGTCTCCGTCCTGACCCCCGCCGTTTCCACTCGACCCATTTTGGACACGTCCATCGCCCCGGATGCCACCGGAAGCGACGAACGCGTGCCCCGCGCCATTCTTCGGTTCCCCCTCCCGACGGCGAACCGAGTCCGCATGAGCATCTCGCACAGCCTTTTCAATTGTCTCGCGCGAGGGGGGAATCGGTGACATGGTCAGAATCTTCTTCTCTACCGAGTACTCGTCGGAAAGGTGGTATACCATGTGGGCATTGGCATCATCGTCGGAGAAAACAACACCGTGCGAGGCGAGCCTACTGCGCAAAACAGCAAATCTCCCGAAGTACTCTTGCGGGGTCTCCCCTACTTTCATCTCAAGAGCGTGATATTGAGATGACAGCCTTTCTTTTTCGGCCCTGGCACGCGGCTCGTAATAATTGAGGAATATCTTCCAACCTCCACTAGGACTCCCATCGGCGATGATCTGGGTTAGGATTGGCATGTATGTCACTGTCGTGATCAGCAGGTTCCACGCCGTTATTGCCTTTTCTACCCGTCCACTCGAATGCACCCTACGCATCTCCTCCATGCTCACGCCTTCTTTCCCAACTGGAATTTTTTCTTCAGTCAGTACTACGTCACGCACTCCTTCCTGGGCAAACATAGCTACCATGTTCGATCGAAAAATCAAAAACTTAGCCTGCTCATCCTCCCCTTGCTTGAAAACACCATCCCAAGGCGCTAGGCGCTTAGTCTCAGTCATTCGAACCGTCCCTGCGTTAATGGGTACTCTTACCCATGTCCCCTGATGAGACGTGAAGTCGACCGGTGAGGGCGTCGGCGAGTGTGCGGGCGATTTCGTCGGTCGTCGGGTTGGCCGATGGCCGCCCCGCGTGTTGCTGGTGGCGATCCTCGTGCTCTCTTCCGGTCCGGACGTCATCTGTCCTCCGCTCCTCTGCTTCTTGCCTCGACATCTCGGCCAGTCTTGCTTCTACCCTCTGTTCGACCAAGTAGTTGATCCGGGCTTCCTCCTCTGCTAGTCGGGCGCTCACTCGATCTTGCTCGGTGTCGCTCATCGGTGGCTGCTGCTGATCGCCGCAAAGCGATACTCCAAACTAAGCTCGACTCGAATCTCGTAGACGACGTGTCATACGCTAGCGTGATCGATAATTCGGGTGGCTCAGTTGTGTGTGATGGGAGCGTAGAGCAGCTCGGCCATGACGGGCCGCACGGGTAGGTAAAGACGTGTAGACGTGGTGAAAAACGTGTTGTATTCATCGGGGGCGTGCTTGAGCTCGTCATTCCATCACGGCATCAAGTCACGCATAACCCTTTAATACCCAGAACGAATCTCCATGAATCTCCACCAATCTACTACACTCCCAAGGAAAACACAAAGAAACTTCTTGTCCCTCCGTAGTTCGTCACTGCAATCCCCGCATATGTATACGCAATATACCACCCCCATGCTATGCTACGAGTATATCGAATAGGCGTTCCGTGTTAGAGGGAGAAAGGAAGGGCGGGGTACACTCGTATTTTGGCCGGGTACTACGTGATTGGCTTCCCTCGAAAGGGCACGGGTATGCGTAGCCTTAGTGGAGGCGCGGGGCAACGAAACGTAAACAGACTCACACCAATCGCAGCACGAGCAGCCGAGTGAGTTATTTTCTGTCGATGGGCTTCCTCTCTTTCAGCATGCTTCCCGAGAGGTTTCCAAACGCGTGTTGTACACCGCCTACCACAATAATGTTTCTTCAGCATTGTCGCCGTTCGAGGTATGATCGATTAGACTACGGTGTGAACATGGCGTCGAACCCGCTTGCTTCGTCTGCACGCTGTTCGTCCTACAGAGAGCACGAGACAGATGAGAGTGATGTGATTGCTGCGTGACGAAGGAGCGAACCCCACTCTAGCATTATCAAAGATTATTTAGTGCGTACTCGCCTCAAAACACCTATTGTAAGGGTTGAATGGATTCAAAGGTCAGTAGATAATGGAATTATTTGATCATTTTGATGCTGAACCCAGGTTCCCAATCCTCTCGCATACATGGTTCGTTTCAACCCATTCACTCACGAACACCTCAATCGGGACTCAACCGGATGGGCTACCACCGTTCACGATGGAACCTCAAGATACTTTGGCAATCGTTGAGTTGTCCCCATTCATTTCTGAAGAAATGCGGCGCGCTGGGTGCAAGTTTTTCTACAGGTCTGACTCCTGCCACACCGTGTTGAGCGATTCTTTGATATTCTCCTCGTTGGTATTCTTGTTGGGGTGTATGAATAGTTCATTTGTTTCTTGGGGTCTGTACTAGGTATGTTACGGCGAAGGCCGACCAACAAAACGAGGCGTTTGTGTAAAACACAGTAGATGCTTGGGAGAACGGTGGCATGTGCGGTGAATGAGACAAGAAAAATCCCTGGTGGTAGTGCAGGCAGCACCAAGCATGACTATTATTATTGACACTTGCCCCACCAGTCCCGTGGTTTCTCAATCTCTGACACGAGCTCTCCACGTCACATGACCAATACAAACACGAGGAGGCTGGGTGTTGACCAAGGAGAGTCATACGGGAACAGGATATGTCAAAAGGCGTCATTTTTTAGGACGTGAGACAGAGTTTTAGCGCTAAAGCACCCGCGAGAAGCCCGTCAATACATGTGTGAAACCCGTCTATCTGCGGGCCGTATGCTTTCAGAATGTTACAACTCTGTTGAGCAAATGAAGGAAAGGAGACACCAGGGCAGAGGTGTCGTTACCGCTGCGGGAAAGAAAAAAATCACCGTGCAGATATGCTGCCATGCCGGTTGTTCAACATGCCAAAGAGATGATTCGTGATGATTGCTTTTGGGCGTTCATTCCCTAGACCTCAGATAGAGTCAAGAGAGCGAAGAACAAACAAAACAGATCACAATGAACAATTGCAGCTCCCAGGATCACGGCTGTTGGGTGTTTGTCTGTGAAGTGGTTTCGTAGAATGCGGTGCCCAAGCAAGCGGCGAAATAGACAAAAATACTCCATAATAAAGAAGACACCACAAAGTAGGCGCCAAGGTAAATCGAGACAGCTGATCGGTGGATGCCAAGTTAAATCTGTCCCGGTGTTTTGTTTTTTGCTGCCCACAACTACATGGAAGGAAGACGAGGCCTTTGTGAAACTCTCCTGGTCTCTTACAAATTGGAGTGTTTCTGATACAGTAGTACCCTCGTACATACTTGTAGCCTGATCTACTTCTACAGGGACAAATATATAGGTCTTCCCCTCCTCAAAGTACCAAGCGTTCACACGACGAAGTTTTGCGTTAAGTGCACACCGGAGCCCTATTCTGTGCACAGCCCGGTATGATCAACACCGCCAATTGCCCTGTCGGACTAGCGCTCTTCGTGTTCATTGTTGGCACGGCCGTGACTTGCGCTTGGGGACTTGCCGCGGGTTCGACCCCTACCGGTGGGAGACGTGGCAGGCGCGGTATCCGCGGGCTTCCTCCTGCATCGGTACGTGTCGGGAGACAGGTGGAGGAGAGTGAGTGCGCGAGCAACGCAGGAGAGCGAATCTTAGTTTACTTCTTGATAACGAAAACGGACAACTGGATCACCTTCACTGTATTGACTGCAGAGAACGCCGTAACCCTACATAGAAAACCCGGGGCGGAATCCGTAAGACGTTCGCCGGCGACACGAAGGGGGCGTGACGGGTAGAGAGGATGGTCCTGTTCACAGGAGAGGGAGAACCGAACTGCGGTAGTACGTACTGTGAAGTGAACTCACCTTTTTCTCCCTTGCCCTGGTCGTCCTCATCCTCGCCCTCGTCTTCGCTCTCGTCCTCCTCTGAAGCGAAAACCTCCAACCGGCTTTTTGACGCTGTGGCGGGGGGCTCCTTTTCCTTCTCGCTCTTGCTTCTCGCACCTGACACCATCGAGGAGGAAGCGGGGTGGGTGGTGAAAGGGGTTGGTCAGAACGCCTGACGGTGGCGAGAGCACTTACGGTATTGCTGCGTAAATACCCGGGTCACACTCCGCTCATCTTGCCACAGAACGTGTTTTGCTACATGTTTGACTTCAACGGCACTCTGGCGGCGGTCGATCTCGATACAAACGGCCTTCTAGATTCCGGTTAGAGCTCTTGATCACGTTGGATGATTCACTCGCTTCGGCATAAGCATAGGGTGCTCTCCTTCCTGTTACATCGCCAAAACACTGAACGGGCAGTGTTGATACCCAAATATCAGGGAGCGGTATTCAGGGCCCCCTGGTGACGAGATGTAAATCGAGCCTACAGCGGTTGGTGCCGACATCGATACCTCGAGGAACAATTCATGATCTGACCGGGTGCGGCTGTCGCCTTGGCCCTCGCTGCCGATGACGCCTTTCCATGTTGCAGGTCGCTCTCCCCCTCCTGCTTGAGCTCCTCCATGGACAGAAGCATCACCTCCTTCATCTGCCAGGCCGAACCCTTCCTTGTCCAAGTCAACGTTAGTGGCCGCGGCCGCGCCGGAGCCCTCGTGGACTTGCTGCTGGTGGGCTTGAGGCCCATTCTGATTTTCCATAACCGGAGCGGTGTTGTCTGTTGCTGCTGCGATAGACGGCATGCTACTGTAGGGAGTGAAAATCCACCGCACAGACATGCCGTCCGTCGCAGCAGCACCAGACCACACCGCCGCGGTGAAGGACGATGAGAAGGGGCCTCAGCCCAGCAGCAACAGATTCACCAACGCGACGCAGCAAAAGGCGGTATCTCGCCCCGCTACGCGACGAGGAAAAGGCGGCATCTCACCTGGCCAGCGGGGCAAGATGCCGCCTTTGCGTCGTCGCGTTGGCGAATTGTTTCCCACAACTGCGCCCTCATGTAGATTTCGTTTCAGTGGCCCAATTTCGATATCCTTGTAGCCAACCACAGTATTTGTGTAGTGTGCGGCAAGCGAGAAAAAGCGCGGCATGATATCGAATGGGGAAGAAAGTGTAGGAGTCGAAAGCCGGAAACGCACCGTATCCGGCACATATCCAAGCCGTGCGTCGCGTTCGATTCCCCCTTGTTCCGCCTTTTCCATTGCTTGCTGTCATGAGACTTGCGTGAACAGGAAACGGCACGGTTCTATGGTATTTCAGAACAATGTGTAAGACCAGGGAACGGTCTAATATTACGTAGAGAAAACATTCTCTTGACCGTTCACCGTCCACCGTAAGACGTCTATTTTGTTTGTGGCCTCGTTGATGACTTTCTTTACCGCCTCTTCCTGCCTGATTAAGGTGTCGTGCACAGAGAGCATTCCCAAGCGCTCGAGCTGCAGGGCAGGGTTGGAAGGTGGGGGTGCGGGCACGGGGGTTTGCAGCCGGCGGCAACATCGGGAATGATCACGAGGTTAGAAGATGTCAAGAGACCATCAAAGGGATAGAACCGTGTACACAATGTAGTTTCATAGTTTCTGCTCAGCTGAATTCACCCCGTTGGGTGAAAATCAGAACGTATGAGACGCTGTCACAGCACTTACCTGCTTTTGGGCTTCGGCCCGTTTTGACATACTGGTCTTGTTCTGCTGCAAGTCGTTTTCGACTTGCACCAATGCAATCCTCGCCCTGTGTGCGTCTGCCCTTGTCTCGATGCCAGCCAGCTGGTATTCGTAGCAGACTGAGCGTGCCGTCTGAGACGAACGCGGCGTACGTTTTGCTGGGGGCGAGGGGTGGATTTTCTCTTTTGTTGTCCTCATGACGAAAGTTGATCATGTTCACGTATGATAGCGTGCTACAGAATACTCTACAGGGAGAGTCATGTGGGGGAATGGAGGATCAAATCAGAAAGTGTGAGACGCTGTCACAGCACGTACCTGCTTCTGGATTTCGGCCCGTTTTTACATCTTGGTCTTATTCTGCAAGTCGTTTGGGACTCGAACCGATTCAGCTCCCGCCGTGTGGGTGTCTACCCTAGTCTCGATACCAACCAGCCGGTACTCATAGCAGGCCACGAGTACCAGCTGGCTGGAATCGAGACTAGGGCAGACGTCCACAGGGCGGGCGTTGAATCGGCGCGAGTCCAAGACGACTTGCCGAAAATGACGAAGATGTTATAACGGTCCGAAGCCCAGGATCAGTTAAGCGCTGCGGCAACGTCTCAACACGTCCTGGTTTCACCTTCCATTCCCCCCGCATTGACTGCCCCTAGTGTATTATGTAGCACACCGTACGGGGGTGGACTTCTTACTCATTCAACGTTCATGTGACAAAAGTTGATCATGTTCACGATAGTGAGCTTCTGCATGCTCCACAAGCAGTGGGTGGCGGACAGGGTTAGTCTATGGGGGGGGAAACGGAAGGAAAAAAATGGTGGGGAAAACGGAAGATCTTTTCCGTGGGAATTGGGGAGATGTTGTAGCAGCAATGTGTTTGGTTTCGGTATCCGCACACCAGGCCCCCACACCTTGCTCCCGCTACCCTTCGCCGCGTCCCACAACCACGATGCCGTTCCTAGGCAGCATCTTCAAGGAAGAGGTACACCAATCCAGCATTAGGGGGAACATATGTGGACCAGGAACGTCCTTACCATACATCCAAACGAAAGGAATACAAATCCCGCTGACTAGGTTCCTAACGTTTCAATCTGTGGATAATCGATCCGCAGGGCGTGCGTGCAAAGAATGCGGCCAATTTTTAAGAAAATCATCATGAGAAATGAACATGAATTGTCCATGGAAGAGTGTGTTTCGATAGCACTGGCCTTATCGGCCCGGCTGGGCCTGACGTTTATGCTACGGCAGCCCTGGAAAATGCATTCACGTCTCACTAGGTTTCGGCAAGCATTGCCGCTTCAGTGCTGCGGCAGAAACACCCCGTTGTGTGCCATGTCGAGACCTTGTTTTTTTTGCCTCAAAGGCGAGGAACACAAGGTTGCCATGGCGGTCGCTAACAAGCGGTACCAACGTAGCTTGGTGCCTACTTTTGCGCCTATTATCTAGTGGCAACTACGCCGTTTACGGCTCCCTGAATTCATTCCGACCCCCTACTCCTGCAGGCGGGAGCTCAGGAGCTCTGCAACTGGCGCGAGTTCCCTGCGAAAGCTACTGTGCATTTTTCTTAGCCACCGCAGGATGACTGCAGTTCACTCGCGCTTGTCTGCGAAAAGCCCTGTGAAGGCTGCTGTGCACTTCACATGGCCACTGCAGGATGGCACTGTAGTCCACGCTTGCTCGTCTGCGTACGTATGTATGCAGTTTCGCAAGCGCACAATCCACTGTCGATAACGAGCACGCAGCGGCAACCCGTAGCGCAGAAATAGGAAAGAGAAAGCACATCGCATACGCACCCGGCAGGAGTATACCCACCCATTTGTGTGTTTCTACACTCTCTATGCCCATCCTCTCGCCAGACCACTGGCGCATGCTATTCGATCGCTCTCTGCATCAGTTTCCTTCGCTATCGTGACCCTGTCAGGTCGTTGTAATGGAGCTATATATGTAAACAACGGCATCATCAGTCATCTTCAGACAAACGAACGTTTCGTTCGGAAGATGAAAAAATGACCCGGCAGGGTGTTTCCTGGCGCCAAATCTGGAAGGTTGTGTCTTGGCTACCAGTATCAAAACCTCTTTTTTTATTTTCTTAACGACACAACGAATCCATCTCCATCTGATAAAAGAGTCCAAGATATATACATGTCTTTCGATTTTCAATCATCATCGAGATGCAAAATCTTGACGTCGTCGTGGGCCCTGCTGGCATGCGAACGCTACTATTGTCGCCGTTGCGTGTGCTGATGCATGCATCTTGTGTAGGGAATTGGTGTAGTGGGGAGGCACCAGGTACACGCCGTAAAGTGGCATTCTGTGCTGTGGTAGCGAGTGGTACGGAGTAGCGAAATAAAAATTATGCAGATTGTTGCACGCAGGAGGAGGCGGGCAGATGAGAGAAGCACCCGAACTGTTCGCGGTTCCGCCGCCTCGAACCTTATCTCGGGAATGGAGGTAGGCGAACAGCGAGCAGGAGTGCTACACAGCCTATTGCTGTGGCTAGACAGCTGACGGTTTCAGCGTTCAAAGCCCCGGTGCTGTGAGGGAACTTAGAAAGAGGTAGAGCGAGAGAGTTAGAGAGAGAGTACTGCCTATTAGCTGCGAACGGCGGCGTTGCTTTCGAAGAGAACAGCCACAGGGAATAGGAGCGGCACTTCTCAGCTTGCCAAGTATGATGGCGACACAAGTTACGAAGGTGAGAGCACAAATGAACTCAATGCTGTAGTGAATATGCATCAGACTGCTGCAGCATGAGTTCGCGCGCGATTGGCAGAGCCTGGCTATCTTCGGGAAGGATCGGAGTGTTCGCATCGTCATGTACTGCTTTGGTCCGCAGTCCCTCCAGTTTTACAACCTACTGGTAGGGGACACGTGGCTTGGGATTGTGTCGTACAGTAAATAAGAGACCGGGGCGAGGCATATCACACAGCACATCACACAGCGTACTACCTCATCCAAGCATGATAGACCAAGGGGTCTCATGTGTGTTTCACACAGCGGAGCCTACATGGGGTGACTACGGTGCGATAGACTGACAATTTTGAGTGCTGAGTCACCAAAGTGTACCCATTTGGGCGCCCATTACTACAGCAGTAAGAGAGATGGTCGACAACCTCCTCCTGACGCTGGCTCTACTTCAGTATAAAGAAAACAACCTTCCCGCCTTTTGGATCTTATATATTCTACTATTTTCCGTAGAAGGCACCATGAAGAGGCGTCGCGTGTGCTGACACGTTTAGGTTTGCCACAGGAGCGGAAATATCGAAGGTCGCACCAGTCTCTACAATAGTCCTTACTCTGCACCGGAACCAAGCGGAATCCCACATTTGTCACAGGCTTGCTTACCGCCACGGACCGTAAACCCCTGAACCACATGTCATCAGCAGCAGCAAGTGGCATCAGCTACTCCAGGATACCCGCAGTTCAGGAGATTAGGGTCAGTGGCGGCGAGAAGAAGCAGTGAAAAACACTGTGGGCGTCGGTCTACATCTAACTTGCGGAGATTGTAGGCCACTACAACGACCCTCGATACAATATCACTACACAAGGAGCGGATTTGAGCGCCCAAACACACGCTGTAAGGTGTCCTCTAGTGATATCACTAGAATGCATAAGGCCAAAGGATGCAAAACGGGCCTTATTTGAGCTCTGCCGGTCTGGCTCTTTTGGATTGAATATTTACTTGTGATGTTATTGCTTGATTCCAAACGAGGCGGGTGGAGGTAAACTCTTGATAAGTATGTTTTGAGCAGTCCCTACTGCCACCCTGTGCGTGAATCAACGATTTATGTTTCATCTGATGCCTTCCGACTGGTCCTGTGTGTCTGTTTTCCATTTCTGGTGCTCTTGCATGTATTTCAAATTCAGTCAACATGAAGTTCGTTGTCTCCCACCCCTTACCCTTTTCGGCCTTCAGGCGTACTGACTGATGATTGATTGATCATTTACGAATGCTGGCGTGGTGGCAAATCGTGGAGTTGGCGCCCTGTAGACCTCCACGCCGGGTGTTGGAAGCCCTCATTTATTTTTTCCATCAACCGCGCTGACCGGCTCGACACTGAAAAGACGCCAGTGCCACCGGGCAACAGTTCGGAAAAAGGCGAATGTCATGGTCCGCTTGGCAGCAAGCAACCAACGCCATGATATTTTATCTTTAGGAAGTCTTCTAGTGTTTTAGTCAAATGAAAGCAGTGTGAGTGGGCTTGGTGAATTACCAACAAAACAACCTACAATACCAGTGCCAATATGCCACGTTCCTACGGAAGAAAGCGCGTACTATGCGCCGACGTGCACGCATGCTGCATAGGCCAGAAATGTGCGACCATTTGCGACCATGCTCGCTGTTTTTCTCCGCTTCTTGACCGGTCGGTTCGCCCTGTTCCTGTCTTGATCATCGCTCTTGGTGTTTTACCAAACAATTTTGGAAAAGTCGAATCTCAGGGTCGGCTTTGAGGTAACAAACAGCATCATCATCAGCGGCAATAGCCAGATTTTCCTGTGCACATTCATCTTCATGCACACACCCGCACAAATAATACAGCACCGGCAACGCATTCATCCAGGGGTCCGACGAAATTCTCACGCGTTCATTCGTGTGTGCCAGCATGTGAGCTGTTTCGCCCCGAATTCCTACGTTACTTGACAAATGAGTGTAGCTTCCATGGAAGTTGAATTTTACTCTGCCGTGGATTTGGTATCGACTTCCATGGAATGGTTCAAAGTTGATTTCCATGGAAGCTCGCCAAGTGACTTCCTTGGATGCTTAGGGACCTTGCGTGGAAGTTAAGCTAAGGGCGATTCACGAGCGACTTCCATCGAGACTTGCGCTTCGAGTTGTGTCAACGGCAGTTCAAGAGCGATTTCCAGTGAACCTTTAACTTCCATAAAACCTAATGGAGATCAACTTGCTTCCATAGAAAGTCGCTTGGTGAGCTTCCACGGAAGGAAGTCAAATTTTGCAACTACCATGGGAGTAGCCCACCTTCGGGTAGAAGCAGACTCAGTATCACAGAGGAGCATTG